GAAAGGGGAGCCCAAGCGACTGTCTGGACGTTGTCCCCTGAGAGTCGCTATGCCAAATAGTGACTGAGGGACTCTGCTGAACATATCAGCGGTCAACACAAAGCTTCCCCGTTAAGATTAGTTTTTGTCCGGAACCGATGAGTAGCATACTATAAATAATTTGTCAACAAGTAGCGAAACCGTTAGTTTTGGCTCCGGATGAAGTCATTTGACAGGCATGAAATCCTAGCTTTTTGGTGATGGATTTCCCTGTACAGCCCACCAATGGGACAACTTAAACTTACCTGTACGTGTATCGTTTCTAAAAAATCAAAATCCTAGAACAAATCGAATCAGGAGGCCTCAACAATTACACAGTTGAAAGCCCCTGTACCAACAAGAATGACTTACCCTTCTCACTGGTCTGATGGAAACAGTATGTATGAGTTATAAGACCATATCACTTGATGCCTTAAAGTGCTTGTGAGTGGTACACCACGTTTCTGCGAACGGTTGGGCAGAAATTTTACGCTCAGGTCTTTTCTTGACCTGTCTGAAGAAATGTCACGAAATCGGCAACTAAACTTTAGACGCCTGTATTGAAAGAGCGAAAACACAAAAAGCACTCCCATAGCCGCACGACCAAACTAGCGATGACTGTGGTGGTTGGACAGGTTGATTAGCCAAGCCCCTCTTCCTGACCTTGGAACATAATTGTACATGATCAAAGCATTTCCTCTAAACTATCAGCGATCATCGTTCGTTCGTGTGCGGCGTTCCTCATCCGGTGCCTATAGTTCAAGCGTCCCCATAGCTGGTGGTGTTTTGAGTTCAGGGACCACCAACCGACCAGCTGTGTAGGAACCCCGCACATTGCCCAAGTCAGTGCTCGAGAGCCAAATCAGTCAGGTTTTCGGCACATCACACTCATTTGGAAATTTCATCGCTGTCAGTGAGAGACTCCAGGATTACACCTACCTGATGAGGTCCAAGAAAAGCGAAACCTCTGGCGGGCTGTCGACGATTTTTCAAGAAAATTACGAGTAAAGTGTCAAGCTGGTGTCAAGATGGTGGTTGATTGCTTAAACGAGGCACGCAAGACCACTGTTGATACGTACATAAAACTTGTTCCAAACATCACAAGTGGCTATGACGATATAGTTGATTTAGTTTACTGCTTCAGTGAAGCCTCATCGCTCCAGAGGACTTGTATGTCTCAAGATGAGGGAGTCAGCGTGGTACCGCATACCCAGTATGTGGTTCAAACTCTCGTTCCAAACCAGGACTTTGTGCGACTTTGCGCCATGCCACCTAGCTGAATTGTTTTAATCTGAGATCATGCTACAAAGTCAAATATATCCAAATATCTTAACGGAGCTTGAAACGACGATAAATGATTCTCCGAGCGCAAGCTGGATGTTCAGCTCCGCTGGTGTGTTGCGTCGATGAGCAGCTTGAGTGCTCTAATCAAAGATCTACTTTGAAATTGTGCACTTCGAAGTCTCATGCTGCCGGGTTTCCACTTTTTGAAAACTGCGTAGATTTCAACTTACCACTGGTCTACACGCGTCGGTTCACTTCAGCAACAGTTCCGAACCCGCACGCAGGAAGAATCACCAGAACTATCATTCGTTCTGATATATAGCCGTTACACAAACCTCAATGATAAAGCATCGGTAGGAGACGCAGCAAGCAGGTGTATTTGATATGTATCGAGGCCCCTTGATTGGAAGCATCAGTTGTGCAAGACCAAAGGTTTCCGATGGATTAGTTAAACTGCTTTATTGAGCGAATCTACTTTAACCTTTTCCCAGGAGACTACAACCCATCTTCACATGTATTCCAACGACCTGGGTACATATTCCAGACAAGTTTAGTGTTGCACTCGGACATGTGACGTGATTACCGTTGCCAGATGGAGCTGTGATGTGTCACGGCTTGAATGAGTGGAGGGGTTACGTACGACTGACTGCTGTAAGTAATACAAAGATAAGCATGTTTGTTGACTGGGCTCAGACTGAGCTCAAGGTCACATCCCCCTTTCAGCCACTGGCATCGCCCCTCTAATTGACCACAGCGCTAAACTTCGCGTCTGAAGCCGAAATTGTCTGTTCGGTGTAAGCTGCGTTGTTGTGCTCCATCTACCTGAAGCCGTCAGAAACTCCCAGCAGCATCAGCTCTGCGTTTCCAGACGACCTCAAACATTCGCATGAAACTGAGAATCTCGGAAGAACGAAAACCAAGCGCACACTTCGTGGATAAGGTTTTCAACTCCGAAATTTACTATATTCACATCAAAAGGTGACCATATGCAAGCTGGACTGATAGGAATTTTTGAAATGCCCCTTACTACAATCTGTCCTTTCAGTAAATTGATAATAGAAAGCATATCTTACATAAGTAGCGCGGTCTCGCGTAAGCTTCGAGTCTTTCCGTGTCATTTTCACTGACTATTATCATAGTATTGCACGGGGATACGAATGACCTTGAGACAAATTATACTCAATTATAGTCAATCCGTCAATTTTAACAATGCTTCGATACCTGTTACGTCGACAAACAAAAACGTTGTGAACCACATTCATACGCAACAAGTACATGATTGTGTACGATTGACGGAAACTCGGAGACTACGCCCACTGATGAGCCCCAAGAGTGGCAAAACCGGTTGTGGGCTGTCAAAGAGTTTTCAACAACCTTGTGAGTAGTTTTCTTCGTGAAAACACTAAGTTCTCTGCTGTTCATGAGTAAAACCGGATAACTTGCTTTGTTATTCAGCGAAATACACTCATTTGCAAGTTAATTTGGTTTTGTGACTGACTCACCTGGAACTCAGCTGAATCTCTCGTTTGTGATGTCTCTTGGCAACTGAATGTACTGCACCAGTTCGCCTCGATATTCGAGATATCGCGATATATGTCAATGAACTTTCAGCAACCTTATGAGTAGTGCATTGCCTTGTTGATGTTTTCACATAGCGATGAGATTATTTCGAATCAACGTACAACACAATGTGGTAACACTGAATACCACCATATAACGTGCATTACTTCAGCGTGGCACCTGTCTATCAAGCTGTCAGAAATTATATACCCTGTTATGGAATTTCGATATATTTTCACACAACCGTTCTGAAGTGACAGCTATGCGTCCAAATGTCCTGTTTTGTGAATTACCGCTTCAAAACGTCGAGCCTGCCGACAGCTCTTTGAAGACCTTCAGAAACCTAAAAAGCACGCGGAAGATCGTTTAACCACCGGCGAACGTTTCCTCATCGATGGGATTGCAAACGTAATAGCCGAACGCTTTGAAGTGTACGCAATAAATGTGGCACTGAGTATGCCTGAGTTCCTATCCACCTGGCTGCGAACCTACTACCTGGTACTCAACCCTGCCTAGTTTCATTCTAAGTCAATGAAACTCTGCTGGCGAATGAATGTGGCACAGCGGCATCAAAAGCTTCAGATGTGGAATATCGCTGCAAAAATAAAAACCTCTAGCCCAATTATATGTAGTCAGGCAACATGCATGGTTACTTCATGTCACCTGGGAAGCACTGGAGTAGATTTTCGATATTATAACGAAACTCTGCTGGCGAATGAATGTGGCACAACGGCATCAAAAACTCTAGATATGGAACCTCATTGGAAAAATCAAAACTCCTAGCCACATTAATTGCACTCAGGCAACACTTTCCGTATTCATGCACGGTTACCACGTGTCACCTGGGAAGCACTGGTGTAGAGTTTCGACCTTAGAAAATCGTTCAGCTGCAGCACCCTTTCGGTGCCTAGCTGCCATGCCACCCGAAGGTTGCACGAGGGCTGGGATACTGCCAGGTTGCCCAAGCCGAGACAAGGGAAATCGAGAGGCAGAGGTTGGGTTCGAACCACAGACCTTTCGGTCAGTAAATTCGCGCTCTAACCACCTGAACCATCTGGCCCCCAGTAAATTCGTGCTCTAACCACCTGAACCATCTAGCCCCCAGCTTTTACCTTATGGAGTGGAGAGTTGATTTCAACAGATCCAGTCTCCAGTGCTTATCAGGACAACCATGGCCCTGGGAAGTAATGAACGACCGTTTCGACGGTCCAGTGCTTATCAGGACAACCATGGCCCTCTCACTCTCGTCGACCGTTTCGACGAGAGTGCCGGGATGATGAGACTTGATAAACAGCCTCGTTCCCATGGGTGTGTAAAACCCATCTGAGCTTGCTTTTCTGATTGAGCCTTCGCCGAAGTAAATTCACGGCTTTCGAACAGATTGCATGACAGCATACGTGGACAAAAAGCGCAACCGAGTGTTATAACGTTTCAATCACAACTGATTCTGCGGCCTATGGTTGGCGGCCTTTTTGGTTTTTTTTTGCAATCCATCAGTAATATGATCATGCCATTCCCCCTGATTAATTCCAGTGAAACGATCGGTCTGATGCAATATTTTGAGACAATGCATTGTCTGTTGTATTCGTAGCAAGCACAACATGACACGTGAACAGTTTTCATGCAAGATTGTACATGTCCTAATATTTACATATGTTAAGAACCTGTTCACGTATACATTCCAGTTTTTTTCCTTTTCTTTCATACTCAACACCTATGGAAACGCATGTTTCGATTGCATATTTTTGTCGAGTTGTAACCTGCACAGAGGATCGAAGACAACCGAGCAAGATCGGGAACCTTGTGCAACGTTGTACCATCTTTCGAAAAACGCCCCACAACCTGTGTGGGGTTCACGCGTGATCCACCAATCATTGACCGTGTATCACCAAGGTCATCCACGTGCAAGACATGAGTTGCTTGCCAATGGACAGATGTAATTTGACATTAATTCTATGGATAATATCTGCCAAAAGAATCGCCGATGTAAAGCATGAATCGAAATGTGCAACTCAAAGGTCTGAATTGGTACTGATTTACCATGTTCAGTTCGCCAAAAGCGCAATACTCAATGCCAATTGGTCTGCGGACCATCGCAGCTCGACAAAGTAACCCACCTTTGTTCTATCCTGCTTCAGACCAATCCTCGCCTGAGACCAATATACATCCTGCCTGTGAGTCAATGCGAAACTCAGCCAATCAGCATAGCGGTTTGGAGAGAATGAGCGCTGCGCTCACTGCTCACAGGCACGTCGGCAAAGCAAACAGAAATCCACCACCCCCACCTCCGCCATCTGAATGTGGCTCTGCAAATAGACACAGCCAAACACACAGAAACATAGTGGTACACAGTCAGTCGTCTGTTGTTTGAGCAGCAACTCTCAAGCCAAAAACAACCAGCCTATAAGCACATCGGCCGCAAATTCCTTACCTGTCTATTGGTTTACTCACCCCCAAACCCAGTGCGTATTGGCCAGATCCAACAAAGCGGGGTAATCGTCGTGCGCTGTTTGCTTTCCAGGCGATATTGACCATCGCCTGGAACTGATAGTCTGATTCAACAAGGCACGACAGCAGTGCAGCTACGTTAACATTTGTCAACTCTGTGTGTGTTGAACAGTGTAAGAGGACACCTAGTATGTATAGTGAGTAAACTCCATGCTGACATTCTTCAAGCAGCTAATGTACACTCGTTCTATGTACATTGTCAACCCGACGACCTCCCCTTGTGTTTACTTTTTATTGGTTCATCAAAGCGAACGCGCGTGACTCAATTCAGCTAAACTTCAAGAAGCTTCGCGCCTTCGTCATCGTTGTTGGGACACTGTTTGCCGTTTTTTTCTCTCACTGTTTGCTTACTGTGCCGCGGTGTGGCTAACCCAAGCCTGTTCAAACTATCCGCCCCAGTTTATCATTATTTGCATTGCATCTTGCTTCGCGCCTTCGTCATCGTTGTTGGGACACTGTTTGCCGTTTTTTTCTCTCACTGTTTGCTTACTGTGCCGCGGTGTGGCTAACCCAAGCCTGTTCAAACTATCCGCCCCAGTTTATCATTATTTGCATTGCATCTTGGCAAACTAACTGGTGACTGATTGATTGATTGGTTGATTGATTGATGCTCCTTGAGGCAATGGATCCCCTCGAGCAGTTGTGTTTACCATCCACAGAGTGGAAACAACACCATGACGCTGCACTGCCTTTAACCAGAAATCAACCGCTGGGAGCTTCACACTCAACCTGCGACAATACGTTTTCTGAATATGCCCAACCTGCTTTACACAGCTACGGCTCGGAACGCCAATCTTCTTCTGACGATCGTCCGTCCGATCGCTGGTTTAAACGATCCGATTCGTCATCGTCCCAAGCAGAAACTGAGCCCGTCTGTGCCGAACAACATGAATCTCTTCCCAGAACTCTTCAGAATCCAGTGGGCTCCTTCTCGTCTCAACCACCTACCTATTTTATCCATCCATGTCAGGTAACGGATCCAAGACCCTTACCTTTCATGCATTCTGGACCAGACCGTTCAACAGGGCAACTGTTCGGGACCAATGTGAGAGGGACATACAGCTTTCCTGGTCAAGCATCTCCTTGGTGTGGTCCATCCGTGCCAGAACCCGATGTTTCCCATCTACAACCATGGAATTCAATTAGCGTTAACACCTCGCTTGGGTACGATGGGTCAACAGCACCGATCTATAATCCTCAATCAGTGAGCGAGTCCAACTTTAACGGCACGAGTTATCACTTGTCAAAACCAGGTGTATGTCAACAGCTTTCAACCGTAGACTATCAAACTTGTAACATGAGCACTGGTTCCGGCCACTACAGGGCACACGATTTCAGTTGTCATTATCCTCCCAATCAGTCATTTGCTAATTCCACTGGTCCAACATCCACTAGCCCACAGTCCAAGCAGCTGATGAACGTCTTGAAGGACTCTCACCTCACCAGCTCTTTTAACCAAGAAGATGTACTTTTCCAATCCAGTCTGGAAGCGAAAACACTGTGCTTTCGTCCAAATCCCACCGATATGAGTGGTCTTGATGCATCCGGACTGATCCAACATCATCCCACACCTGGTAGTTCTGAGTCTAACTCACATTCTACTGCTCCTATTTCACCTAGCCAAGACACTTCTGAAAACGGCCTTTCATCTTTCGAAACACTCTCTCTCCCAACCGGCAAATTTGAAGGGCCGCCACCGATCTTCAACACATACAGCGGTAAGTATAGCGCGCGATTTGGATATATTCCATCGACAGAACTTCCTCCTGGGATTTCGCCTTCAGTCTCAAGTCCCCGTCACTTTTACGAACCGCAACAAAGTACCGACGAGTCCGGTTTGGATATCTCTGAACAGTCTCATAATGAGCTCTACACTCACCAGCATCACATTGTTCAACAACAACAACAACAGATCGGTCAGACTCAACAGACTCAACAGCAGCAGGCATGCCACGCGAAACCGCCATACTCCTACATCAGTCTCATCACCATGGCGATCCAAAACTCACCGGCCAGAATGTGCACACTTTCGGAAATCTATCAATTCATTATCGATTTATTTCCCTACTACCGACAACACCAGCAGCGGTGGCAAAACTCCATTCGTCATTCGTTATCATTTAATGATTGTTTCGTCAAAGTTTCTCGGAGTCCTGATAAGCCGGGAAAAGGCTCGTATTGGACTCTGCATCCAGAATCTGGAAATATGTTTGAAAACGGTTGTTACTTACGTCGACAAAAACGGTTCAAGGATCCCAAACGTGAGATACTGAGACGTAATCAACGTTCATCAGGTGGCGGTCGTGTCCTGGACTCTCCATCCAAAAGAGGTAAACTTGACGGAGATGCCGACGAGGATCCTGCTATTGATGACGACGATGATGATGATGAAAACAACTCACTTTATGAAGATGCCTATTCACCAATGGTCAAACAAAAACTCTCGGTCAACTTTTCCATGGATGGCTGCAAGTTGTCGCTGTCACACAATCCAACAACTTCCCAAGTCGATTACCTTCAAGCTGCAATGCGTTTGACTGCTGAAATGAGTGTGGAAAACTCCTCTTTGCCCATACAGCCAGTGTCGCGATTTCATCCACCTTTGATGCCCACATGTCAGGACACAGACGAAACAAACTTTACCTATCCCTATTTTCAGGATCCACTGTACGGATCCACAATTCATCCGTTGCCAGCCTCATGGCCTGAACGAGAGTGGCCTCCAAGACCTACCTGTCCTGCTGCGTCCTATCTCTCTTTATCATCAGTGACTGACATTCGACAACACCACCCAATCAATTCTGTTCCGTCATCACACCTATCCGAAAAGCCGCCAAACAGTATGGACTCTACTTTCCCCTATATATCACCTTTGTACACAGAAACCCTATTCTATTCTGGGTTGAAATCAACTCATACACCCTATCCATGCAACCCATCAACCGGAAGAGGCCTCAGTTCCTTCGTACAGTGTCAGCATTCCGCCGCTCAAATCCAGGTCCCTCCACCTGAGGAAAAGCCAAAAAACCTTGGTTCAACAGTTCAACCCAACACCAACCCGGCGGAACCAGGCTCAGAATCGGAGTCTATGATCAGAGAACCCCAATCGGTTGTTCATCAAAAGTCTTCTAGTCCGTATCCGACGGGGACAAAATCAAACTCCAAGGTGACCAACACACGGGTGGAATTATCGGGGTTGGCAGTTAAACGTCCTCGAAAAGACGGAACTCCGGGACCACTGGCAGTCAAACTCGCGAAACCCTACGGATCCGAGGAGGAACAAACAAAAGCAGATAGGAAATTCCAAGTACCCCCATCTAACCTTCATCTCGCCCAACCAGTTCCAACCGCACCGACCGATTCGATCTGGACAAATAGTCTTTTGCTACCAGAAGACATCAAACAACACTTTCCAACCTCCTCTCCCGATGCGACTGGTCCGTCGGATCTGGCTGCGAGTAGCTGCAGTCTTGTGGAATCCGAAAAGGTGGATCCGGAAAGTCCAAATTTTTCAATCGATCGACTGATGCATCGACAGATTATCGATGAAGTAACCGATATATCACTGTCCGCTCATACCCCGTTCACCCCAAAAACGAACAACACTGTGCTCGTCACACACACAGGGGCCACGATGTTACAACCGTCTAGGTTGAAGCCAATCCCTACCGCAAATGGAATGTAGAACAATGTTGCCCACACTCGGTAAGTCACTTATAATAGCCTTATTAGTTATTATAGTAATAACGTTTTTTAGAAAAGACCTCTAAAACTCAGTTGGTAAACAGTACTTTGGAATATTGACTGTCTAAAATTTGTTAGAGTAATACGACATCCCGGGCACATTGATAATTCTTTCAAACATCTTTTTGTGACGAGTTTTTTTCCCATCCAGTGCAGTCGGTGGACCTAAGGGGTTTTCCTCTTAAAATTGGGATCACTAGTTCAGTATAAATCTAAAGTTTTACTGCCCGAACATCAGACAGTGTCATTGGGAGATTCTAAATTAAGAAAACTGATTAAGAAAACTTTGGATTGAGTGTGTACTTTTATCCATGTTGATAGAGATTACTGATTGTGCGGACCGGTATGCTCCGCTGTTTGAGTGGGGACAATGAAACTGCCGTACGCTGGAAAGTTTGTTTCCTGGATGCTCAAAACTCGTTGACTATGATCATCTCATTTCTTCACACTGGAGAAGTCTCACAACAAAGAGGTTTCAAATTTTCAAGTTGAATTTACGTAAAGTTGGGTATCGGGGGAAGAATTTCAGAGTTCGTCAAACTTGGAAATGTGGATGACTGTAATGAGTTGTGTGTCAGCTCTGTATGTCGAGATGCTGAAATTTCAGTTGATCTCTGTAGTTTAGGCGCTTTTGACGATTTGAATAGTGAGAACTAATCATACTGCTACTCATAGCCAAACGGCCAAGTGTTCAACCACTAAGCAAAAGGCTGCAAGATGCTCACGGCTGACGACTTTTGTGATCGTTCGGTGGGACCCTATGCCAAGTATGAACGTCTAGGCATCGAAACACTAGTGAAAAGTAAATTGTATACCAGTGTGCCAAGTGTGTCAAAGTCACTCTAAGAGTAAGTAGCTTCTCTGCCGCCTAGCTAAACGAAAATGAGAGCCAAAAATCCGAAAAGGCTATGGTGATAACGCCCGAATAAAGACCGTGATATAGACTTAATATACTACTCATAAGGTTCCTCACGACCGGCTTCGTCCTCCCACTCTGGGCTCGTCAGTTCACGAGTTTCCTTCACCCAAAGGCTATGGTGATAACGCCCGAATAAAGACCGTGATATAGACTTAATATACTACTCATAAGGTTCCTCACGACCGGCTTCGTCCTCCCACTCTGGGCTCGTCAGTTCACGAGTTTCCGTCAACCTCATGTTCTATTTGAAACCAAATTGCACATTCTGTTGTTTAGAAACACCGTAAACGAGAGATTCAGCTGAGTTCCAGGTGAGCCTCTCGCAAAGCCAAATTTGTTTGCAAATAAGTGTAAGAATCATGATACTCCGACGAGGATCAACCCATTCAGTTCTGTTCCTTCAATCAGTAGTGTGATTGTCCCAAATCTAAGAGAGAATATCCCTTCGTATGTGCCGTAGGCCAAACCACCCAGTCTATTCTTGAGGGTACACTGAACTGACATTGTTGTCCGCTGCAAGATGGGGTGATTTCGACGGTGTTTTACTACTCTGAGCGAGCATATTTGTTTAGACAAACTAATCAGAGAAGAATATCAGGAACCACGTCCTAAACAGTAGTCTCTCATTATCTAAAATTTGCTAGCACGGGTGCGATTCCCGGGTTCTGATCAGTTTGCCCAGCTTGGCCTCAAAGCTTTGATTGGTGGCTAAACGTTTGAAGGTCGATTGCTACCCTCAGTCAACAGATCCACAACCAGGCTCGCTGCTTCCTGTTTGATAATATTTAACTCGAACAGGAATAAAAACCTGAGATGAAAATCACTTATTTGAAAACCAAGTTGGCGTTAATGAAATGACTCAATTGAATCCTTCAGGATATTCTTGGGCTACTACACAAAGGCTGCCTCATGTTGAAGTTGGTACAAAATGTTACAGGATAGCCTCTTGGTAGAACACACTATGTTGTTGAAAACTTATACACACACACACACTAAGCACCAATATCAAGGTCATTTAAGAATGAGTGTAGTTCACCAGGTGCGCAAAATTTGGTGCACAGGTAGAACACTAGATTGATTAATTGAACCTGATGAATCCCAAGGAAAACTAAACCGAGAGTTGGTCATCAAGGATATTTCAGCGAGTTATTGAGTAGTGTTTTCAGGCACTGTCCTTTCTAAAAATTACCCACAAAAGTAGAATCGTAAAAAACGAGAATGGCTGTTTGTGGACATGGATAAACATAAATGAAACGAGTGGTTGACATCTTCGTGGTCTTTTTGGAAAGAGTTGGGTACGTACATCCGGCTTTTTGTTTAACCGTGGTGATGACAGAAGAATAGAGCGATGCGCCGATATTGTACAAATCGCAGAAGTGCTCACTTTTATCCCTGCTTGGAGGGGCCGTCGGATTCGTTTACTCAAACGTGTTTCGTTCACTCGCAGCCGAACAGCTAAAAGAGGGAATTGGTGCTGCGATCACCATTTCTAAGTGGATACGGAGGCTAATCAACTCGTGCTGTTTGTGGGTTTTTTTCCAGACCAGTCCCAAACAACTTTCTCCAATGATTTCCAATAGCTTGTTTGACCACAAATCATACAGGATACCAGTTTTTCGCTACGGGAAAACAGAGAATGTTCCAAGAATGAGCCAAGCCTTGCTGAAGCCTTACTGGAGCTATGTACTCCGTATCACTCATCTTATGACGAGAACGCTGACCAGAAAAGCAAACAAAACACGATTCGAAACTTGTTTAATTAAACTGGAGAACCCTCCAAGCGGATAGCTGAATTTTAGCAACATTCTTGGTTTATTGTTCTCTTCGCCATTTATACAGTGTGAAGAATTCTGCGCGGAATATCATCGCATAGAAGAGCATCTCTTGAACAAAATATAACGGACGGACAGTGCTCCTCACTGGGTTTAAGAAGATCTACTCACCTTCACTTTATTCCTGCCAGTTAAGCTATGTATAAGGCAGACAGACAGACAGGCAGATGACAGGTAAATCAACTTAGTACCTACAAAGATGTCTACGGGTATCCCAATTCCAGGTAGCTATACTCATCCTCATAGAAGCAACTTCCTTACAGATGAGACTATGCTCGGTAGATGTTTTGAGTTTAATTGGCGTGCCCTTTCAGAACAGTAAGAAACAAAAAACCAGAATTTGTTCTAATTCTTCGTACCAATCACAACTAAACTGGGTTACTGATAAGGAATAAGTAATGGAGTGAACCTTGGAAGATGACTTTCTCATATTTATGCGACTGAAAAATGTTCAGTTCACAAGAAACAGCTGATATAAGCAGTATCAAAGTCGTACTCTGACCTTATATAGGTCGGATGGATTTCTCATAGTTTTAAACCTTTCTTCTATACTACTCGCGTCACCCCAGATAAATCTCGATTGCTGTCTTTGTTTATCCGAGCAAACGGTCGCTTTTTGTAGCAGAAAAACAGGCAAATGAACAAGGTGGATGAATTCGGTCAGTAGTTTGCTGGTTCCAGGGAATTTTGAAGCCATTTTCATTTGTTGTTGACGGTGATTCCGCTGCAAACGGTCTGTTGAAGCAACGGCAGACTTCCGACGCAGCTTCGCACCACTGTTCAACCCGACTCAGTCATGGTCCCGTAAGATGACAATACCAACGCATCGAACATTGGATTAACGTGAAAGTTAAGTCTTAGGGATGGATGTGGCGCGCAAATATCTTGTGAGAAATTGGTAATTGAGTTTTTTCCACCATTCGAGTGCTACACGAAGAACAGCCTTGAATAGTCGTCCCATTGCGCCGTTGTTATCTGTACGTTAGTCGGGTAGTAAAATGTTTTGATTCATAAAGGTGCATTTTCATGAATATTTCCGTGAATATAAGGATCAAAGATAGACAACCGTATCACTGTGAATGATTTGGCATGGTGATGTCAACCTTGGTAATATTCAAAAGAGATTTCATCCTGTCAGTAATAGATAACCGTTCAGCTGTAACACCCCTTTTGGGGCCTAGATACCATGCCATCCGAAGGAAGCACGAGGGCTGAGATACCGTCTAGAGAGGGGAGGTCGAGAGGCAGAGGTCGGGTTCGAACCATGAACCTTCCGGTCAGTAACTTCAGGCTTTAACCACTGAGCCGTACTCTCAGTAAATCCAATTTATGCTGAAAAGAAGTAAAGCACTGCACAGCTGTTTCATCCTTGCTAGGAATCATCAACAGTGCCCACTTCACGAAACTCAGACGGTTTCAAACCCGTGACCTTCCAGTCAGTGGCTGAACACTTAACCAGTTGACCGAAGCATGTGATCGGCATTGCGATTACCTCTCACCTCGTCTTAGAGTCTTCTTGGCATCCCGTTGGAAGCTTTCTAACTTATTTTTGATGAATTTCAGAAAGAAAACTTGATTTTTTGGTGCAAAGTTGCTCCCAAGAGTTGGTTTTCTTCAAATGGATGAATGTAGATATCTTCAAAACAGCATGCTTACCAGACTTTATTGTGGGTTGCATAACACCTGTATGACTCATTGTTTGCCAAATTAAAAAAATTACAGCAGTATATACAGATTCCTTACTTCAAAGTTTCCACAACACTCACTTGAGAATACTGATCGGTGTCACAGTGAGGGTGAACCTGTCGGCAAGTCTTCGTTGGGTTTTGTCAAATGAAACCACGGACAAGTATCTCCAACTCAAGTAAATTACACGAGCAGATACTGACGTTCCCGTCTGAACCTGAAGCTTTATGCGAAAGGACAAAAAGTAGTATACGTAGTATTGTTGGTAATATACTCCCCCTAATTGAGGTTATCAAAAGCAAAATGTGCCTTTACCGTACGCAACTTGTTATCCCTTGAGGTAACTGATTTTCCAATAGAACTTCCCCTATCCCGACCGAACGTGTCCTTAAAGAAGAGGTCAAACAACACTGTGTGATTAGTGTAATACACTCATTTGGAAACAACTTTGGTTTTTTTGATCTGTTCCAGGTGAGTCTATCGAGAAACCAAATTTGTTCTCCAGTGATTGTGGTCTCAAGCAGAACATGAGTTTGACGGAAAAATCAGGAACGGGGCTACCTGATGAGCCCAAAGTGGAAGGGCGAAACCGGTCGTGGGCTGTCGAAAAATTTTCAGCAACCTTATGAGTAGTGCATCACGTCTAAACAATATGTGGTCTTCAGACTCAGTTCTCGTTTTAATTTAGTTTGAATGGCTCTTCTGCTGGCCTGATCTACCCCAAAACAGGGAAGCACTAGTTAGAGCTCGCCAGGAAAGCATCGATTCGATCGTGCTGGGGGTTTCGACCTTGAGCGTCTGAATAAACAGGAAACCTTTTCAACGTTTGAGTGATATGATTGGTTTGTCCAACGAAACGGTAGGTGTCAATCGATTGACCGGCCCCTTAGGACTGCCCAGCCAAAAAGCGAAAAGGACTCTTCTGGTCAATTTCTAGCCGACTGCAGGTAGCTGCGGTGTCTGTAGACTTCATATTCACGTTTTTGGTTTTCCATTACCGGTTTGTTCACTGTACACCAAATTTCGAGATACTCGAAGCATTCAGTGTCAAATTTGAAGAGTAGTGAATATATGGTTTTAGTTAGCAACTCGTGGTACAGTACAATTAAATTACCACTAGTGAAAGGAAGAAGGCCTTCGCTGCAGAGTTATTTATTAGAAAATGCCAACTGATCAGTTACAGACCATTGAACAGGGAAGCAAAACTCTCATTTGCATCTTATTTGCAAAAACTGAACATCCTTCTTCTCCTGAACGCGTCTTCTTGAACTTTCCTGGATATTCATTGACTCTAATCATTCATTGCTCAAATCCAAGCAACCGCTACAAAGCGACTTCACAAATTCCGCAACAGATCTCCCTTTTCAAGAGACGCAAAGCGAATTTGCAAGAACAAAACATACTACTCGCATGCCTCGACACCAGTAGTATCACCGTTACACTAGAACGTCAAAACTAGTCGATTCCGAAGATTAAAGTCCCTCATTAATAGTGGAACGACTAGAAGACCCTCTATGATTTTCTTGACTTGACAGACTACTCACAGGGTTGCTGAAAACGTTTCAACAACCCACGACCGATTTCGCTTCTCTTAAACCTCAAAAAACATGTGCAGTTTCTGTCAATCTTATGTTTGAATACCAGATTATACGCAACTGGCGAAGTGCACTTATTTGCGAATTACTTTGCTGTTAACAAGAGACTCATCTGAATATCATGGTCTAGTGGGATGTCAAGCCCTTCGTTGGAATTGGGTTATTTTCTTTGTGGGTTTGGTGGTGCTTTGTTGATTACTTGTCATATCTGCTGATTCGTCAATCTGTGGTATCTGCTGTTGACCCGCTCCAGTGCCTAATGCCAGAGAAAAAAGACTCACAGAAGGGAACACAACCGCTATATTCCGAACAAACGATTGCGAGAGCAAAAGTTACAACGGGCCCCCGCTATTTAGAGGGGACTTTCTGACATTGATCCAGGCTGTTTGATAGGCGTTAATGAACACCCATCAAAATCGATCGTGCGTTTATGAAAAGCCTGAACGCTGATCACATCCGGTCGTGCTTCCGTGGCATGCAAGAACACTCATCGGGTTTTGCTGAATCGATTGAATGATTGACTGGCCTGGATGCTTGCCGGCTTTCCTGTTGAGATTTTGGTGGAGCAGTAGATTCAAGGCGTTCTGAGGTTGCTTTCAGGAATCTGACCTTCTTGATATTACTCCTCCTACCTTTTCTCGAACTTTCTTTTTATTTGACACAGTGATAACGGCGAACATAATTCTGAATCGAGCCGTCCTCAATATCAGTCATGTGGTCTTTCTGGATGACGGGTTTGTTCATGAACTTATTGCGGTCACACTCTATAGGTTATAAATCCTCATATTGTCGTACAAATGTATTGCCGGTGGTAAGGAGCATCACCGAAAGGTGAATACTTCATTCGTACGGCATTCGGGGATGTCCATACAGCCAAGCCGACAGTGTACACTGCACCCGTGTACACGTTCACAGCTAACATGCTTGCAAAATTGACGCTGTGTTGTCAACAAAAATATGTGAAAATCCTTGCCTCAACTGCTGACCCCCAAGAAGGAACGTTCAAGAATTTTCAGCAACTTTACGAGTAGTATGTCATGAGAAGTTAAGAGCACCTTTTTCCTTTTGGAGTGATAAATGCGGTTCTACTGAGTGTGTAGTATCTAGAATGTAAAGCTTTTTAACCAAAATGCTATTTTGGACTACACTACGCTTCATAGGAACCTTAAATGAAAAGGGGTGCCTCAGATAACTCTTCAAAAGTGACATTGACCGTCAGGCTTCTACATCATGCTGTTTAGTGCAACGTAATGGATGTACAGGCTAATAGTGAAACGTTGATACTACTGATGGGGAGGCACGCGAGTAGTATGTATTGTTGGTGGAATTCCGCTTTGCGTCTTCTGAAAAGGGGAGATGTGTTGCGGAATTCGTGGAGTCACCTTGTAACATTTGCTTGCATTTAGGCAAGGAATGATTGAAGTCAATAAATATCCAGGAAAGTTCAAGAAGACGCGTTCAGGAGAAGAAGGATGTCCAGTTTTTGCAAATAAGATGCAAATGAGAGTTTTGCTTCCCTGTTCAGTGGTCTGTAACTGGTCAGTTGGCATTTTCTAACAAATAACTCCGCAGCAAGGACCTCCCTCCTTTTCAATAGTATACACGTTTTTGACACCCTTTTGACGAGAAACTCAACTGAATCCAAGTAAGCGACTAGTTTAATAGCCATTCGTTTTCAGCAACCTTATGAGTAGTGTATTACAATGGCTCAACTGTTACACAATGCTGTTCGACAGCTCTTCATATGCGGTTATCTAACCTAGTTTCTAATGTGCATATGACGGAACTAATCAGCAATTAGTGGTTTTCGATTTCACGGATGTTGTCCTGCACCAAAATCAGGGGGTACGACACAGCACAACTTTCCCGTGTCTTTGACTTCTCTGATTGAAAGCTAATAAAATCTCACCCAAATTGTAAACACTTGTGCGGTTCTTTCACTTATTTTCAAGTGTCCTGAGTGTGGTCACTTACCTCACAGGAATTGCCTATCGTCGCCTTGTAAAAACCTAACTACGTCAATTTGAGTGAGGTTCCTGGGTGTTACCGACAGTTCCCCCTTCCAAAAGATATCTTTTCTTTCAGAGAGGCAGTTGTTTCGGCTGTTCTGGTGTTAAAATTCTTTGATCAGTTGAACTGTGATCGGGCAGTAAAAATGACACAAACCGATCCGCTTCAGATAGGCTAGTACACCAACTACACAGTCTCCTCTCCGTCCACTTGGGACCGGACTAGTCTGTCTCTGACATGTGATCTTTACAGCTAGCAATGCACGTTTCCAGCGTACGTGGCCTTACGTGACTGAGAAGTCCTCACAGGCGGATCAGTCAGTCAACGCGAGCCGTTGTTTGGAGCTGTTGGCCAGCCAATCGACAATTCAGGTTTGTCCAGCTTGGACTGTTGGAGTTGAGATGACACTCTCCGTCACATATAAGATACCCGTGGTCTGACGCTTGGCTTTGCCAAGGGCATGCTCTTCTAATCACCTCTAGCAAGAGCAAAGCTAGAGACCAATGTTTCACATGGGGCAACAAGGCAATAAGGGGGTCGTTCAAACGAGGATGATGTGAATGAATATTCTTCAGTGCCTTTTGGCTCATCAAAACCATGCTACTGTCCGATGTTTCAATGATGTACATTCCAGATGAGCTTATCGGGCTCTTTTGCTGCACTGCTGTGTCGAATTGTTGTCAGGTGTACAAGGTTCTTGAGTGCAGCATATTCACTTATGCCCCTCTAAATTTATAGGTGTAGGGTCGTGGCAGTAGTATTTGAGCGGCTGTTAACTATGCCGGTGACGCCTAATTTCACGTCCACCAAGCTCGTGTTTTGATCGAAGCACTTCGGTAGACTCCGAAGTGAATTCACGGATATCGCGATCAATCCTTATCCGAATCGATGAAATTCCGCTCAGATTATTTGCGGCTGAAAGGAGATCGCAACTTGAGGGACCTGAGGACTGAGGGCACATCGGTAATAAACTTTAGCTGACTTGATCGGATTTGAAAGCAATCCCGATATGAATCTAAAGGTGACTGGATGTCTGGACGTAATACACTACTCATAAGGTTGCTTCGACATCACAAACGAAAGATTCAGCTGGGTTCCAGGTGGATCTCTCGCAAAACCAAATTACTTTGCAAATGACTGGATGTCATTTTTGAGGTTTCCATGGAGACCTTTCGAGGTTTCTTTTAAGTCATTTTGCCACATCTATCTAGACAAAATGCAAAACTGGCGGCATGTTCTGACCTACGAAACGCACTGAACTCAACTGTGGTACATCTGTCTAGACAAAATGCAAAACTGGCTGGATGTTCTGACCTACGAAACACACTGAACTCAACTGTAGCACTCCTCTATCATGGTAACGTTCAAATGAACGATTATTAGCTCACCGTGCAATCTGGCTCGGTCGGAATGCCCCAGCATGGAACAACCGCTGAGTAAAGCTCGCACGATCGATTTTCAGTGGGGTGTTGTCTATAAAAGCGGACTGAAGACCATTCACAACATGTATTTACAGCCATCTTGTATGCTGTACACATTGTTCGGATGTTTCAAGGATGAACTTCATCATGCTTTTGTTCCCAACTTACATTTTGACATATATAACGGCATGGGAATTTTCCAAACGCCTGTTTTACTGATTAGCGATTACGCCATGTTAGGTGAGGCGGTGGGCTTTGCTTATATGAATAAGCAAGGCTTCCGCTGCTTCGAAACACCTATTGTCGAGATACAATGTGCCCAAATGTGCTCACCTTACACCGGTCTGTCTTCACAGTGACAGTCTTCCCACAGTATGGTTCGATACTACTAACAAACCCGAGTGAGTATGCAAAAGGTCTTTTTTATTTTTGGAGCAAATGTTTTCTCCTGGGTTAAGTCAGATTCTTGGATCGATCAAGTAAAGAAATGATACATCTTGGCCTGAAGAATTTCAGGGACAGCAGTAATCATTCAGCACGGGAGGGGGGCGCTAAACCAAACTGGGGGGCATCCTCAGTATGTAGTTGACTTGCTGTGTCTGTTTTTAGGCCCAGTCATCATGTTCATCTGCTTTATTCTAATCTGTATTAATCAACAATGAGTAACTCATGAGTCTTGAGGACGATGGAGCAACGTCACTCAACTACGCTGGGCCTGTTAGCATGGGTTTGGTTTGCACGTAGTCAATATCACCCACTGCTCGTTATCCTGTCACCGAAATCAACGTCACGTGATCAGGCAAGGTACGTTTGATTACCATTGCAGATTGTTTATATACTTTCTCGTTCTTCCCTCCCTCTATGCTTCAAAAGCAGTCAAAAACAGAGCTAGGTAAACCAGTCTTCTGGTTGAAAGTTTTTTTCCATATACCACGGCTCATTTAAATGGAATATACCTTCGCCATGAACGAATTCCAGTTAATGTACCAAGCCTTTAAGCAGACTTGGAAGGACAACCATTAAGCCTGACTAAACTTTCTGAAATCGATTACTTAGCGAGCCATATTTCAAGTCGAATAAATGCATTGATTTTAAGGGTCTGTTATTCTGATCGCACCGATTGGCTAGAAGGACCGAACGCATTTTGGGCGTGAGCCAATGAACGACGCACTAGAACTGGCCCCGCGGACTTATCAGTCTGAATGCTCCGCACATTCACTTCATGTTGAATTGTCCATCATCATCGGCAGCCAATTCGCTGTAGCGTTGTCAAATTTGTCATCTGAACGCTAGACGCCACTGCAAAGCCCAGACAAACAAGGCATCTTTCCGGCCACTGAAGCCACTAGCTGACAGGTTAGCACGGATAAACGGCTAGCCCCGTGAACATCGACCATTAGCTCTTAGAGTCGAGTTTTCAGAACTGGTCAACGTTCCGCAAATCTCTGATGATCAGGCAGTAGATTTGTCGTATGTACGTTTACGTGGGCAACATCTGGCAGGCACTGGTCGGCTAACAAGCTCAATTCGGATAGGTAAGAAGGCAACAAATCAGTGAGGCAGGTGGTAAGACTGAAGGGTAACAACAAGGGAATTACATGACATCCGCACCCACACATTCGGGAAGACTGAAGGGTAACAACAAGGGAATTACACGACGTACGTACCCACACTTGGGTTAACCGGTTCATGGACAGTTGCAAAAAAACTATCTGTTTGTGTGCACATGCGGGAAGAGAATAGCATTTCCCGGCGTGTCTGGGAACGATGGGGGTGAGGAGGGGGTAAAACTTCAAATGGTTTCATGTTTACAAAAGCGCCAACAAGATGGTTGAATCCTCTACGATGAATCCTTGAAAGACATGAAAAAATATATTTAGATCTTGATGCTCACACAACCAACCCTTTCAATAATATCACCTTGTCTGATGAGTACTTTGGATTGGTTCCAGGCACCTACAAATTAGAGAAACCTCCCTAATGTGACCTAACGTCTCTCCTTTATCAAAGCCATAAAAGTGGAGTGCATTGTATTCTCAACGGCATACATATGCGCCAGTGACAAATGGTATGGTATGGGGACAACACACTACTCATAAGATCGATGAAAACAATTTAAGCATCATAAACGAGAATATCAGCTGGATTAAGCTGAGTTTCCCCTTCGGAACCAAACTTTTGTGCAAATGAAGGTATTTGGGGAAGGACGGGACATATCTTATAAGGCTTTTCATGTAAGTCAGTGCGCGAGACGCTGCAGCCGCTCAACTTTTCAATGTCTTCTGAAAAAGACTGATACCAACGTTTTGCTCACTTTTGACTATGGGTGATCATAGCCCCTATAAAAATACATTACACGCTGCAAGGATTCGAATAGCTGTAGAGGTCATTAGGACAAACACAAGGATATTTTCTTGAGTCAACATGATATTCCGAGGATTGCTGAAAATCCTCGACAGCATACTACCAATTTAGTCCTTCTTAGGCCTCACCAGTCTCCGAGCTTTAATCACTCTTGTGTTTTGCTTGCACACCAAGTTTTACGTATTTTGCCAAAATGAATCGATTTATTTTTCATGAGATACATGAAGAATATCATAGACGGGAGATACAGCTGGGAATCAGTTAACTAGAAAGTTTCGCACATGAGCGTGATTCACTAGCTTTGTACAATTTGGATCCAAGTAGAACCTAAGGCTGATGAAAAGGCAAAGAATGAACTCACCCAAAGAGCCAGAAGAAGGACTAAAATGGCCCTGGGATGCCCAAATGTTTTCGGCAACCTTGTAAGTAGTATGATTTATCAAGCAAATACACTGCGACTTCTCGACTATCGCACTAACCGAAAAATGGAGTGATACAGCACTATCCGTTATAAAAAATTATAAACATGAGATTCATTTGAGCCTCTTCAACATCGCTGTAATTTGCAACTGAGTATAGTTCGCCAGTTTTTAACAGAGGCCCAAAACCGTGTTGCTCATCTGGCGACTTAGTTCGGAAGAGCTACCACTTCCTTCCATGAAGAGAAAGGAGGGAACACTTTTAGAAGCTTCAGTGAATAAAATTCTGGTTCTCGCAATGAAATGCGTTCTAAATGGACCGCGGACGATCATTTCAGCCCAGAATAATTTGACGCTTGCGTCCGTTCCACGCTTGTCACAGCAAGCGCAGTTGGCTGTAGTGTGTCGCTTGACCAAGTGACCCGAACTTGGAAACGTTTGGAGCTGATGAGAAAATTGAGCGTTACCTAGCCGTATTAATTTACAGATGATGCTGAGTCAGTTCAACCTAAACGGACTGACGATTGGCCGTGCAACGCTTCAGTGTACGCATCCGGCTCACTCTTCGTGAGGACACAGGGCCACCGGACTATCCATATGTTTCTCCTTCAGCAATCCCACTACCTCATAGCCTAGTTTCTAGAAACCCATAATAAACCGACTCTGATATGCTTCCAAGACGCGACAAGGTCAGGGCGTACCATCAGGAAACACGGTATACCTAAACTGGTCCGAGTAGTGTTTGAACCAGCAACACAGCTTTTAAATACCGCAGGTTGAGCAGCCATACGGCATGAAAAGCCGGCGGTGCAAAATTATGTCTTTAGGACTAGTTAATTTGCCGAAAACTTGTGGCCAAAGTATTCTAAACTCGATCCAGAAAGCCTTCTCTCATGCAAATTGTCCATTTTGATTGGCAGCTTAAAACGACATTTTGTACTATACTTTGGATTATTTAGTTATCGTCAGTTTCAGAGGAAAATGGAATCCCTAGAGTTTCGGAGACTGCTTTTTTGTAAGGAGAGGGCCTTTAAACCATCATCAAACAGTCGACAAACCATGATCTACACACAGGAAAGAATCCGTATAACGGCCGTTACAAAGCAAAGTAGAAATGTTTCATAAATGCGCTTCAACGTTGTTTGGTTCACAACTGCTGTTTCAGGACACAATTTCACTAAAAGTCTTCTGAAATGGGAGCATTCGTGAGAAGTGGTCCAGATCCATTCTAGGCGAGCTCTTTTTGGGGACCACTCTATCTATCGCAAGTAACCTTCCGGCCATTGGCTGAACAAAACCGTTTGGCCGCGAGTGGCGGTGTGGTTGGCTCATGAAGTGCGTGTGTGTGTGTGTGTGTGCGTGCGTGCGTGCGTGCGCGTGCGCAAATATATGCCTGAAGCACCGTGCATCTGTTTCATCCTTGATTAACTCACACATAGACAGGATATAGCACCACTCATCTTCCATCATGAGATTTATGTCACGTGGTCACATGCTGACCAGCTCTTCGAGTGACAACTTCTCACTCGAGAGGCTCAAGGGATTTGTTGTTCATTCCTAAAGGTTTTAGTGCTACGACAAGGTTCGAAATCTTTTACTCTTCAACTACTCATCGGGAGGCTGTGGGTTCGAACCTCTCCGGAGGCTCTTGAGATGTGCAGTTTTTAAGGTACTCAACATTTTGGCGTGAGGTAGACAGTTTGGTGAGCCGTGATCGAACAGTGCTTGTTCTCGCTGGTTTAAATTCTACACGATTTATTTCCGTGTTGTCCTCAAAAATCGGATACATGAACGCCCGAGGTCACTTTGTTTCTCAAACAAACTTTAGGGACAGTTTGGATCGTTGGGCACCTTGAGTGGAGTTTGCAAACATTACGGTACTTGAGTGATTACGGCGCACTTCATACCTAGGGGATCACTAAGGTGGGGCAAAACCTACCTGGTACACTTTTGAGATGGCACGAACACATAGGTGCGGAATGCTATAAACCCACTCGCTCTACGAATCCTGCGTTGGCTGGTCGCTCTTCGATGATGATAACATTAATTAGTTTCATGCAGGAAACTACTCACAAGGTTGCTGAAAACTCTTTGACACCCCACGGCCGGTTTCGCTCTTCTTGGGGCTCAGCAGGTAGGTGCAGTCCCCGAGTCTCCGTCAACCTTATGATCTACTTGAACCCGAATTGGACTGTTTTCGAGAAATACACTCATTTGCAAATTAACTTGGTTTTCACGAGAGACTCAACTGAATTCCTCGGGTGCAGCAGATTCAGTTGTAGAATATCATAAACGAGAGATTCAGTTGAGTCTCTCGTGAAAACCAAATTAATCAATCAAGTTCTGTTCTGTTTTATTGTCAACCACTGAAAGTCACGACCACATAAACGTCCGCTGTGGGAAAATTTGCCTTTAGTGAGTCCCAATCGCATAGTGCGGTTGTTTAATGCATCCCCTGCAGTAATGTTGAACTGAGTGCTAACAAGCCAACCACAGAGAATCTAATTCGGTCGGTCCAGTAAAAAGCAAATCATAGCCATTTCGATAAACTTCTGCTTGCTGTGGCAAACATAGACTCTCTTGTCGATCTAAAACGTACGACATTTAAAGATGGATGAAGTCCCAGTGTTTCAAACTTGTTTTCCATGTTTTTTATGGCGAGATGATTCAATCGGTCAGAGCGCGAATTTACTGACCGGAAGGTTCGTGGTTCGAACCCGGCCCCTCTGCCTATCGACTTCCTCTGTCTAGGATTGGGTAACCTGGCAGCATCCCAGCCCTCGTGCGCCCTTCGGGTGGCATGGCAGCTAGGCATTGGAAGGGTGTTACAGCTGGACGATTTATTATTTTGTTTTCTTTATGGCGGCATTTACTCAATGTGGTTGTCTCTTTACCCTTGGGAAAAGCTTTTGTTCCACTTCAGCATACGGAGTATTCCTTTTTTCTCCTGTTGTCTCAGCGTCTTAAGGCCATTCATAGCAATTATACCGAGTGTCTTGGTTCAGATGGAACAGAAATTATCTCTCCACAGCACTCCTTCATTAAGTCGGCATGTACTGCCTACTAACTTCCACACAAGCGACCATATTCGTAAATGAATGACGTGGTAGGTGATAGATTAGGAGGCTAGAAGGAGACTCTGATATCAAGGTTTGGTGTTCCAGTATGATAATACCATTTGACAAAATCGCTTTCGTTAAAGACAGTGATGGAAGTCTTGACAGGATAAATTAGTTGACGGAACCGCTCATACAAATCTTTCAGACTGGGTAGTATACAACTGCCACGACAGGAGGAAACCCTTGATGACTACCTTATATCACCAGACTTTGTAAATCTTGTGGCACTTCCACACACCAGGAGACCTTACTGTCATATCTTCCTGTCATAATACCAAGTTAGATGTTAACCACCGGCGTCTGCATTTTGAAAATCAACTGAGCATGGCATGGCTAACGAGGGAGAACACTGCGCGCATCCTTCGATGAAATATTTTGGAAAGGTATGCAGGAGCTTCCTCGACGGAGATGGCATCGAATGGTGAACACAATTTCTATGTGAAAGTGGTGGAATTTTTGCTAATCCATTTTGTCGCGTGGGGTGTTAAACTACTCCACTTTGTGTCAATCAATCCTACCGGTGCAACATGGTGAGTGCATGCAGCGACCATCCATCCTCGTCATCTGGACCCAGGAAGACGTCAATGAAAACGGCATTTTAATGCAATATCAACAGAACAGTGATCATTGGGGAATTCATCATGTGTTTGTGTCGTCGCATTTATTCACTGTTGCCACGGTGATGCTGTGGGAGCGCCTGAAGCCAAACTGTCGGCCGAGCAACTACGATTCGAGCTGAGACCGCTGCTATATGATTTGTGCATCTGTGGTGCACATGTCTTCGTGAAATGACACCAGACGTTGTCAACAGCACAGAGTTTTCTTTGTGACTTTTATCCTAAGTAAATAAGTAGTATGAGACAGATTCTTGAAATCCACAGACTTCCCATTGGCAGCGTCGTCCTATTTCAAGTGGGTGCCATCTCCGTAATATGAGGGAATTAACCACCAGTGGTTTGAACAGAAGTGTCTCTGAGATTCCACGGTGAAGCTATTTGCCAAGCCTAGTTCGTATGGTGTAAGCAGTATGAAAATATTGCTCAAAATTCCGTGGCCTGCGCCCATCTGGTGAGACCCAAAGAGAAGGAGACCGGTTTTCGAGCAGTCAAGTGAAAGGAACTCTGGCGAATATCTTTGCAACTGAATCTTGAAGCAGCCTGTGCGCCGTAAATTGTGCGGAAGAATATCAATATACTACTTGCTGCAAAGAGGCCTCAGTCCCAGCACTTTTTGCATGCAGGGGAGCTAACTAAAAAGGTGTCTTCTATCAGCAAAAAAGTTCTGAACCACAAGCTCTTCCTCATTTGCGGGGACAATACAACGCTGCTTTCCAAGTATGAATCATTGGAAACTGGAAGTTGCACCCAGTCTCTCAGCAGATATTACCAAGTCCTTAAGGCTAACCATCCCCATAGAAAAGACATGAGCACGCTTTTGTCTATCGGCAAATCAGCCTATCAAGAAGGAACCTTGTTCAGAAGCACGATTTGTTAGTTGGTAAGCTGCTCTATACAGCTATAAAGTCACCTAAATACGAATGTACCTCAAAGTGACCTACGCATCGGACGAACCAATTCAGAATTTCCGTGCGCCTTCGGATCGATTTCGCGTGTGAACGGTGCGGCGCAGTGGTTCTCAGCCATTGGCCTAAGGTTTTGCTCAAATGTAGCTGTCAAACATCGGAGGGTAGTTGGAAGAAAAAATCAAGACCGCAAGACGTTCCCATAAAAGTTGAGCACGCGCAAAAGTCACGATGGGTCTCAATTCGTCTGGATTGTTCACACGCTACTCAAAACATCAAAATCAAAACACCTGGGGTCTTTGGTACACTAGTCTCTGTTACAATTAGTATAGACATAAAGCTGTTCTACCTCGTGTGAACGTCTCTGCAAGACAGAAACACTTTTCTTATCAGGCTTGTCTTCGATGATGCGAAAAAACTGGAATCTGCCGATAACAATATTCAAACAAATAAGCTGTCATCTTTGAAAGTTTTGAAGACGAGTCCGCAGTACTTTCAAGGTTATATTCGTACCAACTACACCCCTCTGACGGTACGGCGTTCATTTTCCAATAGTTCGATGAAAGTCAAGATTAAGCAAAGATGAAGGCTTCTCAGTTATCTTTTGTTGGACGCGATCGCAGTCCATCTATGAAAGCCATCGAACTTGTATGCACCATGTTTGGCCGAGTACGGGAAAGTCAGGTGAGTGGGGAATCGAATCCGAGAAGCACTGTACAGCTGTTTCATCCTTGGCGGGAATCATCAACAGTGCACGTCTCACCGAATTCCGGGTAGCTTCGAGTCCGCGATCAAGCTAGAAAACTGCGCCGCTCGTGGCCTAAAAAGATTGGTCTTTAAATACCAGCCTGGAGAATTTCGACGATTTAGGCGGGAATCATCAGCAGTGCACGTCTCACTGAATTCCGGGTAGTTTTGAGTCCGCGATCAAGCTAAAAAACTGCGCCGCTCGTGGTTTAGAAGGATTGATCTTTAACTACCAGCCTGGAGAATTTCGACGATTCCCAGTAAGGATGAAACAATTGTACATGTCTTCCCATCTTTTCGTCATAGACTGACCGGCTTTAAGAAATATCAAATGAAAATTCTGAAATCTCCTCACACTATCAAAAAATTTTTGAGTAGCTCTGAGGCAGAATAGGCCACACAATCGATAGAACTTCCATTTGAAAAATTGTCACTCGAGGAGCACGTGACCACATGAGGTGGTTCTGTAATTGGGGGGCGAGCAGCGCTATATTCCAAGTGTGAGCTTATCACACTGCTGATCGATCGTTCGTGGTCAAACGGTTAAGTGATCGCAATAGGGGCCGGGAGGTCGGGTTCGTTAACCCCTACTACTAGTGGTTCTCAGCAAGGACAAACTAGCTGTACTTTGCTTCCAGGTTTCATCCATGGCACAAAGTCCTAAGTAAAAACATTTCCAAATCCCCCCACCCAACCGACATTTATTGGGCTTGACAGTTTTATTGAATATGATCCTGATGGGACGTTCCAACTCAACGTCGTAGAGAAGGAAGGGTTTTTGACGGTGAGCGTGTCACTGGGAGATTTGAACCTTATCGAATTGTTCCTCTGTCCATCCGACTTGTCTTGCCCACACAGAACGTTATCAGAAATATTCCATATTCTAAAATGATCACGTCTGATTTCAGCCCAACCTCTTGGTGAATTATTTTAGTATTATCATTCTAATACTGTTTTCAGCCAGATTTGTTTGACACAGTGCTTCTGATGTGGTCCAACAAAGGTCGGACGTCCGATTCGAAGGGGGACGTTCGAATCAAGAGGGTGGACTTGCTTCGAATATATAGCTTGTGAAAGTTTACTCCTTTGGATTAATGATGATCATTCACCTGTAACACTATTCGGAGGCTTAGCCACCATACCACCTAAGGGACTTACGAGGGCTGAGATACTATCAGTTTGCCGCCCAACCCTACACAGGAGCAGTCGAGATATCGGGGTTGGGTTCGAACCATGGACCTTCCAGTGAGTAAACTTGCGCCTCAAGCACGCAGCTACCTCAAGCTCACCTTTTGAATTACTGTCTGTAAATGAATATAGACGGTGAGTCACTTCAGATGGACGATAGGTTCTTAAGTGTTAGGGTTTCATCTCCATAATCCATCTGGGAGACTCACTGCTAAGCTCCTCAACTGTCCCCATTACTTTGTGATCAGCTGCAAAAGCATGGTGGAGGTTCGTTTGTACAGTGCCTCGGAAGACACTTGCACTGGTGCACTTAGAATTAGAACAGATTAAATGCCTTTCGAGTGCACCAATGCACCCCACCAGACTGGCGTTCGTTAGAACGACATCCAAGCTTAGTGACACCAACAAGCGTCCTCATCAAACTACCTTTCTTTCGCTACCTGACACCTGGCACCTAAATCACAATCGATAAACTCCACGGATCCACTGCTTCAACCCTTTTTTCAGCTGAACAGGCAGACAGCATATCTGCCACACGGAAACTTCGACCAGTCATTCACCAAACCAGCAAATTAGACGGGTGTGTAGCTGCTCCAGCGAGACCTGTGTCTCCTTCCATTCAAAATTTGCCAAACTTCTTAGAACGAGCAGACGTGTTTCAACTTATTAGACAGCAATCTCATTTCGAACACAACTATTGGATGCCCTACTTCAACCAGTTCGCAGTACTATATACAACTCCCCCGAGTACTGAGAGAGAATTCTATTCACCCCAAAGTGACTCAAGTTGGCCCAGTGATATTAGTTTAGAAACAGTGACCGTATAGGATTCTGTGAAACAGTGTAAGGTTAGGGTAGTCGAAGAACCATCTTTCGTTTACGAGACAGGTCAGTGGTTGAGGCGCGAACCCACCGACTGGAAGGTCAGTGGTTCGAGCTTAACCCTGGTATCTCGACTGTCTTTGTGCAGCCTTCGTGCTTCTTTGGGCGGGGTGGCAGTTGGGCTCAAAAAGGGTCTTACAGCTGAATGATTTATTTATTCATTTGTTACTTTGATTACTATGAAGTGTACCGCAACTCACTTGACAGACGGCACCAATGAAGCTCATCATCATAGTAGTGACTCACGAAGAGTTGGACAACCTGATGATAAAGAAAGTTGGATTTATCGGCTGCGTTGATTTTTTCTCAAAACACCTCATCATCTGGAACGTGTGTACCAGATCACAGTACGGACTACTTTGTTGTGCGGCTGTGAGACGTTGTCACTGCTAGCCACTGAACTGAGACGTTTCCTGGTCTCCAACGGACACTGTCTCAGGACCATGGCTCGTGTAGGCTGGTGTCGGAGAACCCGCAATGAGAAAATCAGAATGTCCGGTTGTGTCATAGAATGTCTCCCATGCCAAAAGCTGTGGAGTATTGCGCACACCGAACCCTCGTTTCCTAAGAAGCGTACTATTTTCCGTGCCCAATTTAGATTGGCACAAG